TAATAATAATAATAATAATAATAATAATAATAATAATCTGTCAGAACATATGCAAGATACACCAACAAACTCTGGTTGAATCCTATGTCACTGTGGGGTGTATTGGTTACAGGAGTTGGGACAGTTGAATGGAAGGAATGGAGCAATATTTGGGGGAAAATACTTTGATCCTTCTAAGGCAGGACATCTTTTCTCCTTGGAATCATTGTGGCACTATAGTTATGATGGTTCCACAAGGGGAATAAAATAAAATAAAAAGAAGAAGACTGTATTATGCTCAAGCAATAGAATGCAAGAAGAGGCAGTGGGGGATTCCTCTGTGTAAAGAGGAAAAGAACAGGGAGAAGGGAGCAACATCCCAAAGAATAAGAGAAGCAGTATTTGACCTGAGGGACAAGAACAAAAGCTGCTACCAAACAATGGCCAGGTAAAAGAAACCTAAGTCCAGGGCAGAACTGTAACCTGAGAAAACATCTCAGACAAGACCCTCCCTAGTTCTCATGAAGATAAAGGGGTGGGGAGGAAGCGCATTAAGACTTGCAAGATTCTGAAAAGCCTTGGAGAAAAATTCTAAGCACATTTAGACTTGCAAGATTCTGAAAAGCCTTGGAGTCTAATCAGAAAACAATAAATTGATTGGGTGAGGGGTATCCTATCTACAATTTAATATTCTTAGCAAGTATCTGTTTTATCACATTAATAAGTCATAAGCCACATCTTCTACATTCTAGGGTGTGATGCCATAATACCCATTATCTTTCAGTTTTTTATCCTCCCATTTATTTTTTGTTGTCTTTTGTTCTGAAAAAACTCAAACTAACATACAAATAATTTCTGCCTCTAATTTTATCTCCACAACAATCCTATGAGATAGGTTGCATTAAGAGACATGATTGGCTCCAAATTACCCAGAGAGCTCTTTTTGAGTGGGGGCTTGAAACTCCATTCCTAATACCACACTCTAATCACTATACAACTCTGACTGTATAGTATGAGTGTATATTCAAAATGAACTTCTAGTCTTGTGCCAATTTACTCATGGCTGTCTCAATTCAAATCAGCCTCTTGGATCAGGTAGAGTGCAGGATAGTGTGACTATTGCTACTAAAAGTTAACCTCTAATCTTCTGCAATATGCCAGACATAAAATCTTTTTTTATTGTACAAAAGATTCAAAATTTTTGAATCTTTTGTACAATAGATACCTAGATACAGAGAATTGCTGACTACTTTGGGTTCTTCTATGACATTACAGTAGTCATACTGTAACTAAAGGTATTTGGAAGAGACGTTTATACATTGCTGAAATAAATTCTAGTTTTCATACCCACTGGATAGGATCCACAATAATTTGCTGTTGGAAGAGGGCAGTTTTAGTAGGAAGCTCCATAGTAAGCACTAAAAATTCATGCCACGCAAGCATGCACAAGCATGCACAACACAAGAGTGTTTCAGCTTTAGTGATCCTTAATGTAATCCAGCCCTTGGTGTGTAATGGAAGATGCTGTTGATATAAGAATGCATTGTCCTAGTTTTCTGCCATTGTCTGATCTGTTTCGTGATTTGTGATATGCTTAAATCATGACCTGGGGGCAAAAGAAGGCCACCATAATGGGAACTGAGATTAGGTGATGCTACCTGGCAAAGAAGTGCTCTAAGTTTTATAAATAAAAAATCAATTATGTGGTTTTTAATGTATAAAATACATTATATGACTTAGGACATTATGATGAGACTGCTGTCCTCCATAGCATCTTGCTGGTATTTGCAGATATCCAAATAGCTCTGTACTAATTCTCAATGCTATGCTTTGCTGCTAAGGAGTTAGGAACAGATGATAGCTTAGATTCTCATACAGCATAGCGCTTATGGGAGAAAGGAAGAGCAGAAGATACAGAGTTAGATAAAAGAAGAAGTATTAAAACACAGAGAATGACACATTAACATCAGAGAAAGAGCATTCTGGAAAAAAAAAAGCTTGCTTATGGACATGATGGTGGGCACCTAAAGGTTCTACAATGGCTAAAATTGACTTAGTTCTGGTATATCTTAAAATAAGAAAAATTGTCTAGTGAGTCTAAAATAGATGGATCATCTGTTCCTGAGTGGGGTGAAGTCCATGAAATGTTTGAGGAGGAGACCCAGAGGAAGATTTATGAAGAAATGTACCATGGGGCCTAACATACCAATTCAGACAGCATGGGGACTGTGTCAGAAGACAGACCAAAGAAAGATCAAAGGTTTATCTGTCAGAGGGTCATCACTAGATCAGGCCAGATGCTGAGAGACAAATGAAAGTTTGCCACTAAGTTCTCTAAGTTCTTTTCTTAAATCTAAATATGAATGGTTTTACTATTTAACAACACAAAGGGCTGTAGATGGGAGAGGAAACTGCTTGCAAATGAATTCAAAACAATTAGTGAAACCAGAAAAGAGAAATGACTTGACTATTCTAATAGAGCGTAGCTGAAATTGCTTCTTACTGTCTCTTCTGTGAATAAAAAAGGGGTGAACCTGCTCTGTGAACCTGAAGTTTTCAATCAGAACCCTCAAACGTGTGTACATGCCCATAACAGGCATAATTTAATAAACTTAGTTGGGTGATATTTTTTTGTTTCATTTGGCTGATCATCTTAATTTTGACCCAAATTTATGGATTTTTTTTTTAACCTGTAACAATGAACTATGTGCAACACATTGCTATAATGATTAAATTAACTTCTTACCATACTATTTTTGAATCAAAAGTAAGGACTTGTTTAAATTTCATCTATTGCCCTGTTAATAAGCACCAGCATTCCTCTGTTATAAAAGAGAAACTATTTCTATCCCTGCACCCTTGTTTTAGATCCCTCTATTTGTGGAGGAAAATGCTTAGAGTCACTGTGTGGGGAGTGGCACAGAATATTTATACTCAGATTGACCCTTTTAAAATGGCAAAATATTGTTCTCTATTCTCTAGTATGTTATTTCAGTAAGTTTCAATAAAAGAACAGCTAATAATTTTGACTCATAATTGGCCTGTGACAACAAATATAAATAATAAAATCTGCTTATAATTCTCTTGGATGCAAGTTCAATCTTTGAATTAATTTTAAGTGCTATTGTTTCCATAACACTTATCAGAAAATGAAAGTATTTTACTGCAGTCTCTCCTTTTTACAATAACTCTAGGGAGCTGATAAATGTTTCTTTAACCATTTAATGAGTTTTATGGTTATATGGAATGTCTCAGTGTGAGGTTTTGCCTGGAATCTTGTAGTGGGACTGCTTTGTCTTGGTGGATGACCTCTAATTAAAAATTATCAAATCAAACTTCTGGGGAAGGAATGGTGGACTGAAGATGGCTCCGCAAGAGCAGAGCCAATGGCTGTGGCAGAAAGAACAGCCAGTGAATGGATCGGGTCCTCAGAACCCCTTTCCAGATCAAGGAGAAGACTACAATCACCCACAAGTTTAGTCTATGCAGAGACTCCCCACAAAGGAATTGCAAAATAGTGATCTCTGGTGGGTTTGAGAGCTCTGA